TGGGCTATTGGGCTGTATAATGTTTATTATTGGCCCTGTGATTATCATGGCAGTATTATCTAACACATTATCACAAATAATAAGACACAGACTCTTGTTAGATTTGTAATTGCCTTGTTTACCTTGGGCTGGGCAGATATTTTCCTTACACTCTCTCAATATCCTCACCATCCATCTCCCAGCCTCCATCCAATGCCATCCACATTAATCTTACCTATCTGGACTACATTTTATCCATAGTCCTATGGTACTTGCTTGTATTTTTCATCTGGGCCTTTCCATGCCATTATTGAAGTCCTTCCTTTTGGCTCACATGTTTTTTGTTTTTGTTTTTGTTTTGTTTCTGTTTTTGTTTTCTCACGCTAACCTATTGTAGTGTCCCCTCCATCTGTCTCCTGTGATTCTTCTCAAAAGCCCAGGAACCCTAGCCACGCCTACTCCATTTTGCCCTGCCCTGGTATAGGCTGTTTAATCAACTAGTCAGGTATGTCTCTGGCAGGTTTACACAATCAAGGATGGGTGTATCCAGTGGGCAGTAACCAATCTTCACAGCCAGTGATTACCATTAGACCAACCTCCAACAGTGACATCATATAATCTCACTGCAAACCTTGATTTTGAACACCCAGGATGCAAACTGCATCATGCATGCCACCATTTCATGCAATGCCAGCAAACACTTTTTGAAGTGGATGTTAGTTTAGATTCTGGACAACTGTGCATTATAGATTACAGTGTCTTTATGGTACAATTCATTTACTTAATTACAGAAAATATTTACTTGAAATTTTCCTGCCTTTGTTCCTCAGCATGTAAGCATTAAATCAGTGTCTTTGTATTATATTCTGTTAGAACATTTGATTTTAAAGATCACCATTTTAGTTGCTGACTTGAATTTCATTTAAAAAATCATTGAATAAAATTTGTCCTGTGATTAGGGCAAAATTCCTAACAATTTACAAAATCACCCTGAAATTTTTGTATTATGTATTAATATGAAAACTAATTCTCAGCATGGGCAATTATAATCAAAATATCAATCAAGTTTGAAAATGTTCACCCTGAAGTATCAAGCATTAGGCCAAGGCTTAGGCCTTTATGTAGAAATAATCAAGCACATCCATGTTACAAGTATGCAAATTTAATAAATGGCAAAATTATATACACCAGAGAATTAATTTAAAATACATTTATTTGTGGTTTATTATCAGTAAATGTTTGGTTTATATATTTATTAACCTGAGGCTATGTAACAATTTCTAGATTGAAAAAGGGTCATAGTATCGGAAGAGGAGAAAACAGGAAACAGGACAGGAACCTACCACAGAGGGCCTCTGAAAGACTCTACCCAGCAGGATATCAAAGCAGATGCTGAGACTCATAGCCAAACTTTGGGCAGAGTGCAGGGAATCTTATGAAAGAAGAGGGAGATGAAAGACCTGGAGGGGACAGGAGCTCCACAAGGAAAGCAACAGAACCAAAAAATCTGGGCCCAGGAGTCTTTTCTGAGACTGATACTCCAACCAAGGACCATGCATGGAGATTGTTGTGATTCGTAAGCAGACATCTCTACAGCCAGCCCCAAAGGACCTGACAAACTGGTTATCAGGCATCTGTGAATCCACCTATAGACCAACTGGAACCACCTGTGCATGCTCTGGGTCACCTTATAAGAGAACTCGAAGCTCCTCCTCTCTCTCTCTTCTGCCCTGCCCAGAGACGGTCTCTGTGACCCATTCCCCCTTTCTTTTCTCCTTCCCTTCCCTCTTCCCTTAATAAACCTCCCACGTGGAACCAGCTGCATGGTGTGAACCCGCTGTGTAACTCTGTTGCCCAGTCCTAACAGAGATATCCTAGAACCCCTGCAGAGATGTAGCCCATGGCAGCTCAGTATCTAAGCGGGAACCCTAGTAAGGGGAACAGGGACTGTCTCTGACATGAACTCAGTGGCTGGCTCTTTGATCACCTCTCCCTGGTGGGGGAGCAGTCTTACCAGGCCACAGAGGAAGACAATGCAGCCAGTCCTGCTGAGACCTAATAGGCTAGGGTCAGATGGAAGGGGAGGAGAACCTCCCTTATCTTGGAGAGGGGACTTGGAGAGGGGCATGGGAGTAGATGAGGGAGGGAGGAGGCTACAGCTAGGATACAAAGTGAATAAACTGTAATTAATATAAAAATTAAAATAAAAATAAAAAAGATTTATCCTATCCTGAGGATGAGCCCCCAACTGGTTATCCAACACATAGTGGTCAGTCCTGAAATAATATACCCAGAAACTATGCTTCACAGACTCAGCAGGTTGTAGCTATATATTTATGTATATATAGCTATATATATAGTATGCAGACAATAATAATCAAAGAATAAAAAGCTGTCAATTTGAGAGGGAGTAAGGGGGAAGATGTGGGAGGTATGGAAGGAAGAAAGAAGAGGAGAAGTAAACCCTGTTCTAGAAGACTGTTACCATAACTACAGGCAGAGGTATTACCTACAGAACAGCTTGTGAGAAGCTGAAGATGCATCACACAGCTAGGTGACACATAAATTTATTATTTTTAGGTCAACTCGGAGTTAAGGAAGCCAGAAGTTTCCTTTAATCCCTCCATCACAAAGCCATTAAGAAAAGTTTTTTGACACCTGTTAATGACAGGAAGGCAGACCCTGTTAACACTGCAGGGGTAGGGGCATAGTAGCAGAGATAAATGGGATCATCTCTAAATACAAGAGAGAGCATTTTGTTGTTGTTGTTGTTTTAGGCAAAGGAGTGAATAGGAGTGAGTAGGAATAAAATTACCAAAAGAAAACATTAAGGCTGAGCAAGTCTTGTTAGATTAATCTGGCAAGATTGCTGCTGAAGTAGATCAGGTGAGAAGAGGTGGAGAGTGGAGGGGAGGGATTTGATCAGATATAAAGTATGAAGGACCTTCACTTAGCCAACCCTCAAGGTCAAAGCCAAAGATCAGAACCTTGAGGATTAGATTACCGTGACTAGAACTAGGTGCAAGAGATAACCTTTGTCACATAGAGGAAATGCTACAGTCTGGGTCATGGAAGTCCTACAAAGGCCCTGGTCTCTCCAGCTTGTGTCTAGTGCTATTGGTACCTTACATAACTGGGGACTAGTTGGAAAAAAATTAGGAAAATATTGGTAGCATGATTTTGAAGGGGATATTGAAAAGCTCTCTGTTTCTGTTTGCTTGCCTTTGTGAGAAGAGCAGGCTTCTGTGAGAGCCGAAGTGACATTTTAAATTTTAGTTGCTGTGCTTAAGAGATACATGAATCAAAATGCCTGTAAGCTGTAAGCTTGCCCTAGGTCAGATATTTCCTGAAATACTGGAGGCTATTGTTTATGGGCAATAGCAAGCCACAGGCTTTCACTTCCCTAAACAAGTCTGTCTAAACCACCTACATGGGATGTGCTTGATCACACATAGGTGGGTAGGAGGTCCATGAGCAGGAGATACATCAGGATGTACAGTTGCCCCTGATTGGATGTAGGCAGGCGGTACATAGGCAGGAAGTACATCAGTATACAGTATACGTGCTTGCCCCTGATTGGATGTGATGGGAAACAGGGAGGCCTCATGGTGTTCAGGTCCAGAATTCTTTGAAGGAAAGACCCCAGACTCAAACGGCATGCGAACAGCAAAGATCGTTTATTTCTGCAGCAGTCCAGCGTGCAGGGATCACCACTGATGAGTGCAGGCTCAATTTAAAGCCAGTCAGGGGAATTCCAGAGACAGTTAGACCATCTTTATTCTGATTGGCGCAGGTTAGAAGCAAGGGTACAGAGGGGTGCACTGGGAACTGGCCAGGGCTTTAGCCAGGAGTTAGGGGCTTTGGAACCAGCTCATACCAGTACAGGCTGGAAGTTGAGCAGCCTTGAGCAACCTTATCTTCCCCAGGCCAGATGTCCTGGTCGTTCGTGATTGGTTGCCCATTCTCTTTCCTGTAACTGGTATCTCATTTCTGAGAGGTGCAGATTTAGGCCTGCTCCACCTAGCAAGAAACCAAAGCCTGTCGTGGAGTTGGTTAGGCTCCTACATATGGGACCCCTCAGTCGTTTTGCCTTTTTAAGCCTCAAAATGATTCGTGTCCATTTCTTGGGAACCCTGGAATGGACCTGGCCAGAACCCACCAACTTGGCCAGTATTTAATTAAAATTGCTTCAAATTTGGCTTTACATTGTGGTAGGTAGTCTTAACATTTACATTAACATTAACATTTCCTCTACTATGTACCCAACACAATATACTGTGCTGACACAGGCTCAAAGTAAGAGCATCAGGAAATAAGGGTTTAAACCATGAACCAAAATAACCTTTTTTTTTTTCCTTTTAAGTCATCATATATTTTTTAAAATAATGCAAATCTATTGCAGAATTAAACAAAGTTCAATGCAGTGGTTTTAAAAGCACCACTAAACCTTGTCTAAGCTGCATCTTTGAACTGGGCTGCAGACACTCAAATCCTAAGCAATCCAACCTTTGGGCTTTTTCCTGAAATATTTTTCATTAACTTCTGCTTGACTTTCCACACAATTAATTTATTTCTCCAAACCCCTCAAAGACTGAAACAGCATCATGCCTGTTTTTTAAGGCACTTTAACTTTGGCAGGCACCAATCAGAATTTCATACTAACAAATGATATAATTTCCAACCCTTCTTTCTGGTTTATAGCTATAAATACCACCAAAACTTTGTAAAACCTCACAGCATTTTCACAATTGCTTGAATCTGTTTTTTTCCAAGATTACATTCCTAATTAGCCCCAAGCAAATGCCATTTTCTTCACTCTCCACTAGGCTGATTTTATTCTCAATCAACAGTCCTAAGACATTTGTTTTCAGGTCTCATCCTCTGAACTGGTATGGCTTGAATCTGAAATGATCCCCAACAGGCTTATGTTTTAGATGCTCCTTTTCCAGCTGGTGGCTTTATTTTTGGAAGTGGGGACTAGACAGAAGCAGGTCATCAGAGAAGGGGCTTTGAACACTTACCTGGTCTCTAGTTCCTACCACTCTCTCGGCTTTCTGCTATGATGTGAGAAGGTTTCAGCTGCTCCGCCATGCCTTCCCTGATGTGTGAAACTGTGAGACAAAATAAATCTTCCTCTACTAAGTTGTCCTCACAAAGTGTTTTGGTTGCCGTACACAAAAGTAAATAATGCAGAAAAACAATTCCAAAGAAGTGTGTTTGTTGCTGTGATGAACCCCCACCTGTGGGTCCTGACCTTTGGAACTGTGTGTGGGAGGCGTTTGGAAGACTGTGTAGATAGATCCAGGCTGCAGAAGCCCTACAATTCTGTAAGTAAAGCTTAAGGGCAATGCTGGCAAGGGTTTGAAGAGGTCATTCATGTCTCGTTCCTGCACAAAGTCTACCTACATTCAATCAAAGGCAGTGCCCATGTCCTGAAATTTTGAATGAGGCTGAATTTAAAAAACAATGAACTAATCAATTTAGTGGAGAGAATGTCAAAGCACCATAGCACTGAAGCTGTGGTGTGGATATTGCTTGCAGCTTGTAGACAGGTTTACACTGAGAATTGAAAGTAAAAAGAAAGCAGAATGCTGTGCTTTCTAGCAGGGAAGACGGGGAGTGCAGGCAAGAAGAACATAAGGGACTAAAGGGATGAAAAATTAAAATCTTGCATAGTTTAAGTATCAAATGTCCTCCATGGTGGGTTCTAACACTTTAGGCTTAGCTTATGAAACTGTCTGGGGAGGTTGTAGGACTTTAAAATGAAAGACATGGCCTGGTGGTGGGTCACAAGGGCTGGGGTGAGGGTCATAGTCTGACTTTATCTGGTCTGAGCTCTGACCCACAAATGACACCACAGACTCCTGCCACTGTGGACTGATCCATTGTAGTCACCATCCCTCCTCACTGTGATGGACTGTATTCTAAATTTCTCCCTTCCTTCGGTTGCTTCTATCACTAGAAAAGTAACTCACTCAGGAGCATTTAAAGACAAATTTGCACCAGGACAATAGGAAAGATGCCTTGAGAGTGGTTCAGGATGTGGCAAGGCTCCAAGGCTCCACTCATTTCAAGTTCTACTGTGTAAGACTGCAAACTCCCTTTAAAAAAAAAAAAAAACTGTCCTTTAAAAAAAGATCCTCTAAGTTGTCCTGTTCAAAATGGGCAACAAAAGGGTTTCCCAGGTTCATCATATGGCGAGCTAGAGGCAATTGCAGTGCTCAAAGGGAAATTCATCTGTTGCCTGAGCCAGAAGCAGCAATTGGCACCATCTACGTGGTAAGGAAAATGCACAAGTTACAAGGTTATAGGCCTCTGAGAAAAGCTGAATAAGGGAGGCAACGTGCAAGAGTCAGATCCCTGCATGGAGTCTCGTGGGGGACCATGCCTGGAGCCAAGGGAGTGAAGCCAGGTTGCAATGGGTACCTCTGGATGCTGGTGATACCAGAGATGAGTGAGGAATGTCTGCTGAAAATCTAAAGGCGCTAAGGTTAGTCAGGCTGTGAGGGCTTCAAATGACAAAGCCCACTCTCACATTATGGCACCATGCAACTGAACACCAACTGAATGGGTGATATCTAGCCACTGGATTTAATGTTTACACCATTAGACTCCAGTGCATTCTCACCACTGGCTTTTCCATTTGAAAAACATCTTCTCACTTTTCTAAGGCATCTGAAAACCAAATAAATATTCCCATTCTTCACCTTGCCTTAACTGAGGAGCTGAAATCAGGCTTATCCTGTGGCTTCCTGTGTATGCTGACATGGTTTTATTCCTCAGTGTCCCACATTGACATGTCTTTACTTTTTGAAGAAATTCTTGCCCAGAATAAGGTATTATGGTCTATGTTTCAGGAGCCTCAAAAAAAAAAATCTGTTTATCCAGATAATAGCTGACTCAAAGAAACTATCAGGGTAGGATTTCATGTCTTAGTTCTCCAAAAAGCTGCTTACTCCTCAGTCTACTTCAAAGCTGGCCTTGTTATATGTACCATAGCTGAATCACACAATCACATTTCTCTCAACTCCAATTAGCATCTCCTTTCCATGCATGAAGAGAAACTACCATAATGTACCCTAAAAACTTCATGAATAATTAGCTCCTCCCTTCTCTGACACTCAACCAGCCTTTGAAGCAATTCTAAAACTGTCGTCGGTGTTATGGAGTTGCTACTGCGCAAGGCTTCACATAGTCACTAGGGTTCAACTTGACACCCAAGTTCATCTGGTGGTTCTTTAAAATACTGTTATTCTCCATGGTGCAATGTAGGAATGGCTGTTTTGTGAGTATCTTGGACCTCTCTGGACTGTTGTCAGTGGAAGTCAGTGAGAAAGCACTCAGACATGTGGGTGCTCAGCTTATAACTAAAGATCATAACCAACCAGGTCTTGCTCACAATGGACATCACTGATCCCCAGATGTACACATCTCCAACCTGAAAAGCTGACGTTATACATGTATCAAAGCCTAAATTTTGAGCACCAGCATGGCATTATAAGTCAACACGTCACACCTGACCTCATGTGATATGTTGTAGTCAAAACATAGGTACTAAACATTTCTAATGTCACATCCAGGCTATTTATGGGAGGTGTTGAATTTAACTGAATTTCATGTTTACACTTGGTTTCTTTCTCCAAGATTTTAAGAGACCCTGACTAAGTCCATTTCAAGACTGGGACCAAAGCTGGGCAAAAATTCTTGCCACCCTTCCCCCTTTCTTGCTTGACAAGTTCCTGAAAACACACACACACAGGAGATGGGCTGCCAGTCAGCAACTTTCTCGACATCTGGCCTGGGGCTATATGAGATGACTGTTCCATCCCTAAGGTCGGAACGGATCAGGAACATACAAGTATCCCTTACCCTGAACCCATCCAGTCCTGGTAAGGATTGCCTAACTGAGACTGGAAGTCCCCTAGTTGGCTTTACAAAGGGCCTGCAGGCTCCTCTGGTGGTCGCCATTTTATAAAGTGGCTGATCCCTACATGCAGGATTTTTGCTTTCAAGAAATAAAACTGCATATGTGTGGTGATTTTGGACTTAACAATTTTAGATTACAAGTGTTCAAATACTCCAAATTTTAAAGTCTCCAAAAATGCAACTTCTGGTCTTAAGAACTTTAGATAAGGGATTGACAACCCATAGTATATTACGGGGGTCCCTGTTTGGCACCATTTAAGAAGTGGGGAACAGGGGGGAAAAAGCATATGGCATCTATTCCACCAAGCAGATTGGACTCTGAGTCAGGACAAAGGAAGGCAACATAGACTGGAACTACATAAAGAGCCAGGATCTGGGGGCAGAAAGAAGGTCAGGTGTTTTTAAACCCAAGACACAATTCCTCCTGTTGTTCTGCTTTAATGAGCAGGAGTGGCCTTTCAGGGCTTTCCCTTCCATTTATACTCTCACTTCTCCTCTCAGCAGGCCTGCCCTCAGCTATCCCCAATGGGATGAGTCCTCTGCCTCAAAGGACAAAGCAGAATAAAACATCCCCAGGCTCAGTGGACTCTGGGAGAGTCTGTGGACTAGATGTTGGATCTTGAGCCTTGATTTTTGATTATCAGAAATATTTAGAGCACACATAACTTTATCTCCATTCAGGACTTCAGGATTATGCAACAGAGAATAATTAATGAGGTCTTAGAATCTTCCTGTGACAAACAGTAAAGCCATGGTTAGCAGATGGGTGACTGTGAATGATTTGTCATTCCCCAAACTAGTTCATGGTTTTACGCTTGCAATGCATATCTTAGAAACTGCCAAAACGGCTGAGTTCGCAATATTCATTTTACCAACTTTTTTACATTTTGGAAAATAGTTTAGAAGAAAATACTACAGGTCACCCCTTCCCTTCTCCTGGAGCCCTTGGGGATATTAAGTGGAGAAATCCTGTCAAGTCCCAGGAACAAGAACCCAAAGTCATCTGTCTGGACCGAGTGACAGAAAGCCCCAAGCAACTGGAGTGTCTTTCTATATTTGTCTCACTTTAGCTGCTGTTCTGCAGCTTCTCCTAGATCAGCCATCCAGCATGCATGCAGAGTTCATCATGACACTGCATGACTTATCAAACCAATCTTGTTCAGCAGCTTTTTAAAGGCTGCCCCATCTTACAGGCACTGATTTATCTATGTAGATGTTGAGTCTATGAGCAGACTCCACTAAGGAAGTGGAGTCTGAGCCTGTCCTAGCTCCCACAGCTTCCCTAGTAACAGGCTTGCTCCAGCTGGAGGAAGAATGTCAGGTGTTGCTCCCATCTTCATTAAAAAAACATAGAGGAGGTGTTGGGAATTTAGTTTGATGGTAGAGTGCTAGCCTAGCAAGTGCAAGGCCCTGGGTTCGGTTCTCAGCTTTTGGGGGGGAGGGGGGAGAAAGAGGACCTGGGAAGTAGCTCAATAGAATGCTTGCCTAGCATACAAGGAGTCCTGGGCCTAACATCACATAAATTGAACATGGCGACATATGCCTATAACCCTGATGCTGAGATGATAGAGGCTATACAATTAGACTTTTCAGGGGCATCCTCAGCTTAATTTAGGAAGGTGAAGGCCACCAAGGGCTACAAACACTACTAAAACCAGAGTGTTATTCTCATCACATCCTTCTTCACTGTGCCCTGTAAAAGGTCCCTTCCTGGTTCAGACACTCGGGAACGTTAAGTGAGTGTCCAGGGCATTTCTCAATAAAGTGACACTAGTATTCTGGGTCTCAGAAGTGTGAAGAATCCAGCAACTGCACGTGAAGAGGGAGGACTGGGTGGCTCTGAGTTCCCCAGTGGCTTCAGGTGTCCTCGGCGCTTCTCCATGCTTCTTTCTCAGCATCCCAGGCATAACACTCGGTTGCCCTGCCCACTCTTTCTTCCTTCCCTGATGAAATATTTATTGAGCAACTGCTTTCAGTAAGAGGGGGACTTTGACTCCTACACAGCTGGGTCTCCAGCTTGAGAGACAAGATAGATAAGCACCCATGAAATATTTAATAATGATGCAAAGGCCAGAACAAGCAATTCAGAAATAATGATAGCTGTAGGATTCAGGGCAGAAAAAGAGCCACGGGGTCAACATGCTTGAGAGAGGCTTTCTAGAAGATGCCAGACAAGATGAACTTT